ATAGGACATGACAAAGGGTCGTCGAAAAGAATTAGAAACAGAACAACGTCTGCCTGGCAAGCTAGTAAAAATAATATAGCGAATTTATTCAGAGCGGGTAGCGTGACCTTGTCAATTGGACAGTAAACCCTCTCGCTTTAATTTCCAGGTGTGCAATGTATTGGTGGCGAAGTAAGAAAATCTATTACGATATTTTGTCTCGTGGATATCATATGAGGCCACTGTAGGAATGCTAGAATTTTTTTGGTTTCCGGTAGATGGCAGTAATATTATCTCGTTTATGCAAGACTTAAAACGTCTAGATTTACGACGAGGTGGAGTGTGAAAGATGCGAGACGTCTGGCCAAACGACTTAGCGCTAATTAAGGCAAGTACTCCCTTCTACGAGGGAGGCACAAATCCAACAGTGTACTTTTGCGAACTAAAGAAGAAGATACTGCTTTTAATGGTGATACACGCGTATATTGAAAATATACAACATTCATAGTGTTTTTACACTGAAAACATATTTCAGAACGTGTAGCAAATAAAATTTTCATAAAATATACACGATTTCTGCGTACTAGTCGCGTATACTTTCTAACGCCGATTCAATAAATTAGTTACGAGATTATACAAGGCTAGAACCAACAAGTTCTGACATTGTATACATTTTGGATGTAAAAGCGTAACAAGTAATAGTAAAGTATACACGTACACGCTCAGAAATTTACTAAGGAAATGTCATCATATTAAAAAATATGCAACAATTAGCTATCAACTAATCATGTAGTTATTACTTTATGGTAATTTAAAGGAATTTAAAGGTAACTGTTATTTAAAGGAATTTAAAGGTAACTGTTATAATGTCCTTCGTGAGAGACAAAATTATTTTAATTATAAAAGTAGTTTCGATTTGCTACGCAAGGACGAAGGGGTTGCACTTCCCGCAGCACCGAAGCTGTTACAGAAGTAACTTCAAGGGTCAATATTAGTCAATATATGGTATATAATCTACATAGTACATGTTCTTTTATTTTTTATTTTTATCACGGAATTGTCAGGCGAACAGGAAGTAATTATAAGTTTAATTATAATATTAGTGTTATTTTGTATGACATACAAATACTATCTATACAAATTAATAACATACACTCGCGTTTTTGCTCGGTGCATGTTTTTAACTAGTGCAGTATGTTTTTTGCTCAAAGTTTAAGCGAGAGTCTACCCGATAAAAGCGTAATAACCATATTCTATATTTTCTAAAAATAGTTATTCTCATAACAAATTGAAACTATACGCGATCAGTTTCGACCTGTGCGTACTGTTGTTGTATACTTTCAATATACGCGTCATACATATTTTTAGGAATAGACATATCATCATCATTATTATCATTACATGTCATCACAAGATCACTGTTGGATACAGGAACAAAACAAAGGTCATTGCGTAACGTTCAACCTATGCCTGTGGTTTTTGGGAGCACTATGCTCGAAATTGTCGATAAGTATATAAAGATAGGATACCATATCATTACAACCTGTCGAATGTCCACTGATGAACATTGCTTGCCCAATAGATTGCCTCGTAATGTGGATATTTTTCACAGCTGCAGCACTTGCCAAGCTGGTTTGCAAACGCAGTTTCCTATTTTTTTATAAAGCTGTAAACTTGAATATATTGTCCGACTAGGTAAGTCCAAATACGACGAGAGGTCTATTGATGGATTTGACTCGGCTGGGCAGCGTTCAAGAGATTACGACGCATCATCACGTCACGTACCCAAGAAAAATATAAATGATATAAAAAAAAAAAAAAAACACTAGGATAACTAGGTCTTTCATTGCTGGAAAGAGGAAGCTTAAGGACGCTCAGCGAGCTATGAAGAGGGCTATGCAAGGAGTCTCATTTATATTAAGATACTCGCTGTAGAACCAGGATAACCGATATAGCGCAACGGATCAGTTAGCCGAAGTGGCAGTGGGTCGGCCGTGGAGCTCGAAGAACCGACAACCGAAAGGGAAGAAAGATTTAAGAGTGGAAGCCTCGTATCAATTAGTAAAATGAAACGCTGCCCCTACTAGATGCAGTGATGATCTATCTGGTAAGAGATAGTCGATGGGATGCAGATAGCTCAGGTACGCTGTATGGCATTCATTGGGAGAAGCCTAAGTTCACCAATGAATTTGAAGGGATATACAGATTTAAGGATGATAATGATGATGACTGTAATCTAGAATTTTGAAAAATCTAAATATATGCGTTTATACGTGGGAGAGGCACGCTACAACGTATTAAAGCTGTAGCATGAAAAACCTATGCTACGAAAGCCGAAGGCCCTTTTTACTGGTTACGATTCATTCCATCTTAGTCGTCTGGGTTGATAACGCATATGTTATTTGATTCCTAATTAAAGATATATGTAGGTGTCTATGGGCCTCAGCATCCACTTACCATCAGGTGAACTGTGTGCACTTTCAATATCCACGCTTACAAAAATATTTTATTTTCTGAAAAGTTACCTTCTTTGTGAAGAATATTTTTGTTATAGTGTAATAATTTCAGGCTTACCGTCATTTTGAGTAGTCGTAGGAGGGAGAAACCAAGGTCAGGCCGGTAACAACCGTGCCACTCTTCAGAAGTTGGAACGGGCCTACAAAAAGCACGGAATGAACACTATAAGTCCCTGCACCACCACTCCCAACAACACTATGTACTAGGAAAGACACACCACCGACGATTTTTGCCTTCAAACTGTTTAAGACACATAATTGAATAATTTATTTCATTGAGCGGATGTGGGCGAAGTAATTCTTACCAACTTTAATATAATGGATTTCCGCAATGTAACGCCTGATTCTATTAAATACATATTATGTGTGTATGTGTGAATACGTATTCCTACAATAAGTTGAGTATAGTCACATGAGTAAAGAGTTCGTTTCTATTCTCATATGGTATAGTATCGACCGAGCGACGCTAGAGTTAATAGGGCATAAAATAAACGTCACTTATCGCTTTTCCCCACTTTTATAAAAAGAAGTATGGATGACAACGTGCACACACCATAACTGATGAGTGGTGTGGTCCTTGATTAAGAATTCAAACAAGGATGCGCGGCAAACCTAGAGGTACAACATCAAGAGGTAAATAGCAGCTCAATGCTACTGTGTTTCGTATGGTGAGTGTAGAGAACCGAAGACACTTTTTTATTGGAAATGAGGCATTCTACCCTAGCTCACGAGGATATATGTAGATGTCTAATGGCCACAGCATCCATTTACGATTTGATCTCATCATCATCTCGTTTGTCACCCTTATGATATAAAAATATAAACCCCAGAGGACTAAGATGGAATTCCTTGTCGTCAGTAAAAAGGCTCCAGTACTCGTCGCTCACCGTATGAAACACAGCAGCATTATTTTGTTATTTCATGCCGGTATTTTGTGAGAGCGTGGTGCCGCCCCGGACGAGTTAACCCATTCTTGCTACATACATAATCTGCAGCATGGCTATATCACGCATAAAATGTCTCTATATAACAAAATACCGAGTTAATACTCACATCCTAAACACTAATTAAGACGGTATTTACGCATCAACAAATTTTGAATTTGTAAAGAAATTACGACATTAAAGATGACAAAAATATTTCATAAGTCACGCTGACAGAACAAGTATTTTTCTTTCTTTTAAATTTGTTATTATTATGCGACAAGAAGTAATGCTGCCAGTATTCTTGGTGCTCCAGCGCATCGTGCTAAAGACTATCTTGTGCCCATAGAACAACACGGCGTATCGAAGATGAGTATCTATACGCAGGCATTCCCTCCTCTGTCAAAGTATAAGTGCTCGACTACGCTACGTTGAGTAACTATAAACCTGATTTATGGGGGAAAGAGTTGGGGGAGGGAAGCACCACGCCACTCAACGTAGCGCAGTCGAGGGAAGCCGTGTCGACGGAGCCCCGCTCCGCGGGGCTCCTACTTCTGAGCGGTTTATGTAAAAATAACCACGAACTAACCTAACCTGTCCGAGTCGGGATGCCCTAAGTGCCAAGCTCGCTTCGCTCGATCTTACACTCAATAAAACACCAAAATATTAACTTTTATAATTATTTCGATATTCTAGAGCGTTTATGATAACATTTAAAGTCAGAAAACTATATAAAAACTTTAAGTGAGATAAAAAAGTTAATAAACAAACAATTTTCAATGTTTTTTAAATGTTCGTTTTTTGTGTAGATTAACAAAAAATATATAAACTTCGTTTAATGCTTTGCAAAAGTTAAGAACGAACGATTCGAAGAAGTGCGTTTATGATCACATTTAAAGTTATAAAACTATATGAATCTTCAGGTGAGATTTTTTCCATATTTTTTTTCTTAAATCCGCCATAAAAACGAAGATTCTAAAAAATCATCGAAATCGGATGATTTTTCAATTTTTATAGAGCCAATAAACGAGGGGACCGCGATAGTGTAAATTACCCTTAATTCGTATCGCATAATTGAATTCAAATAAAGTCAGGAAAAAAATGTTACCTTGTTTATAATTAGAGACGGAACGTGTTTAACAAAAGCTCAAAGGCCCAGAAGCCATGCCAAAATATATTAAAAACGTGTTTCACACGTTCCGTTTCAGACTACGAAAAACTTGCTCACTCGTCATGTGGTTAAGAAATGTTAAGAATAAGCAATTTCTTTAATTAATTAATTTAAGATTAGATACAATTTTTAATGGTTTTGTACATGGAGGATAGAGGTAAGGATAATCTCCCATAGGAGAATGGTTGAAAATGTGCCCATCTGTAAGCAATAAATAACAGTTCAAAAACTCTCCACAACAGCGCTCGAGTAGCTACAGGGTATGAAAAATCGCCGTAAAATACGTTGAGTGTTTTGAGAATTCTTCCGGTTAAAATTTAAGCATTTGAATTCATATCAGACTTAATAGGAATTTTCCTTAGCCATTGTAATATTCCATACTGTAAACAGTATTTTTATAAAAGTTTTTAAATGATACGGTTGTGTTTAAACATTTGGAGCGTCTTCAGGTATTATAATTACGTATTACAGATTCGTTTATTATTTCATTCCTAACCATTTTCATTTTACAACGAAAAGCTGCTGGGCAGATTGGTGAAGGCGAAGTGTGACACGGACTTCTACAACCTGGATATGTAGCCTCTGGCTGTGCGTCCACAATACACGATGCCCGACCCCAATAAATCCGTATGTTTAATAATTTCTTATTTAACGTACACATAAATTAAAAACCATGATTAAATAACATAAACAGCAACATAAGAAGCTCAGGATCGTCTATTTAAGAGTCGGATGGTTAGCATAATATATTTTTTTATAGGGAAGGGTGACAAGCGAGCACACAGTCCACCTGATGGTAAGTTGTTGCTGATGCCCATAGACATCTACATCTTTATCCTCGTTTGCGAATCAAAATGAAGATGCGTTGTCAGCCTTGAGGACTAAGATGGAATGTCTCTTTTCCGGTAAAAAGGGTGTCCGGTTCTCTACAGTCACCATACGAAACACAGCAGCATTAAGCTGCTATTTGACGCTGATATTCTGTGAGAGCGTGGTCCTTCCCCGGTCGAGCCGACCCATTCGTGCTACAACTATACAATTAATATAGCTGCAGCATGGCTCCACCACGTAAAAAATTCTTTATTAATTTAGGTTTATTTTCACACGCCTTATATACCCCTCTATGTATACCTTTAATAACAGTTAAGTGGTGATGCATGAATATCCACCACCCATATCATCTCGCGGGTGTCGTAAGAAGCGACAAGGGAAACGTATCAGGAAATGGACAGCAGCATCTTTCTGAAAACAACTAAAGAAACGATTGCCAATCCGCTGGCTTATCGTGTTAACTATCGCAAATATGAGTCAATCCATGGAAGAGGCCTATGTTGGACTTTTGATAGGCTTTATCGGTAGCTCACTCTTATAATGTCCTATATAATAATATCACAATAATGTCTTCCAGACTGAGTTTCAGTCACGGCAGGCAATCTCAACGGAGACTAGCCTACTATCTGCGCAGGACAGGATTACAGTAGTAGCAAGCACAAGTACACTCTTTATTCCCTTACTCTCATAGTCCTATGAGATGGAAATCGTTACTATCTGAGTTACATCAGGCGCAAATCCAACGGCTTTACGGGTACGAGGTGAAACACTGTGACCTTCAAGACTCCGGGGCTTGTACTGAAAATTTCTTGACAAAAAAATTCAAGAAAAGATTTTTTTGATTTTGGATACTGATTTTGATGAATCCAGAATCTGCTCAGTACCAATGATTGAAACAATAATGATAGCAAGCCGATGCCACCGTTTTTTCCGTTTATTAGATACTTTTTTTAGAGATAGATTGAAATCAGAAACTTTTTTACTTTTTTCAGCCGCAAACGATATAATTTAAATTATATAAAAAACAAACGCAGTCACAAGGACTGCCGACCGAAGTGAAAACTTAATGACATAGGCCGCTATACTACGCGTTGGTGCAAGCCAACATATTCGTGGATAGTGTATATCACGTATAGATGTAAACATACACCGATGACCTCGACATGCTTGTGTCATGACATGACACGACATGTCGAGGTCATTGGTGACGCGAACCGATAAGTTTTTCCCCAACCAAAAATCGCTTAACGTGGCTAAAGAAGTTTTCAATTCAGTAACAAATAAAAATCATTTCAAATAAACATTTTTTTAATTCCCAAATATTTTCCCTCTATATTTAACCCTTCTACAGTTAGAGGGAATATTTTTCCCTTTACCTTTTATAATAAAAAAACCAAAAACTACCAATTGCAATAACTTTTTTATTTTGGAAACTCTAAAAAAAAGTATAATTTCATTTTTTAAATTTGACATTGACATATCGTATACGACTTTTTTCGAAACGGTTACATTGAAAATTAAAAACAGGAGTTTTTTTCAATTGCGAGAGAAATCGGTATAAATCTTCAAATTTACGAGGTGATTTATGGTAAGTTCTTCTAGATTTTGTAGATTTTTCTAATATCTTAGAAATAAGACGTATTTTTGGTTTATCTTGTACATGATTTTTCTTGGTGGTAAGAATATTCCCTCTAACCGTAATCCTATATTATATTATTACATTATTTTACAGATTCACTAAAAAACAGCAACAAAGTGAAATAGAGTCGGCTCTGGAGGAAATGTTTGGTTTACCATCAGATCCAGACCAGTCCGAAGACGATGAAGAATCGGATGAGGATAATGTTTTACAATATCATACTGCGAAACTGCAGCGGATTTTAGAGGATTTAGATGAACCAGGATTGCGATCTTTAGATATAATAACGGCTTCTCCTAAGCCTTCCACGTCGAGTGATGAACCGGACCCGCGATGTTTTGTAAGATTTGAAAGGGCATCGTTATCGCCTAAACCTTCTACGTCAAATGCAGAACTGCCTAGTAGCGCCTATCCTGGTACAGTTTAAACTGCAAGGAGACAGGGAAGTGGATATGAGATGGGTAGGAAAGTGGACGAGAAATAGGACAGAGGATGAAAAGAGTCAGGATCATGGAGATAGTGGATCAGAGTCAGAAGTAGAGTCGGAAACAAATGCTTCTGACGAAGATGAAGATACATGGAACAAAAAATTATGGACTGACTAGAGGCCACAACCAGACACCTTTAATAGTGTACCGATGACTCCAACACGCATGCTACCATCAAATGCCAGGCCTGTTCGTCACTTTGAAAATTTTTTTACTCAAGAAATTGTCGAATTGATTATTAGAGAAACAAACCGATATGCTAATCAAAATAACGTCGTGGGGTGGACTGAAATTTATACCAAAGAATTGCAGGCTTTCTTGGGAATTTTAATTGTAATGGGCTACCACATTTTACTTTCTTTATAACTTTATTGGTCATCAGATCTTGGTTTTAGAGTTGACGAAATATCTTCCATTATGCCCTACAGAAGATTCAAGCAAATCCTAAGATGTTTGCACTTGAATGATAATTCCAAACAACCAGCGAGGTCTGACCCCGCCTATGATAAATTATACAAAATACGACCATTGTTGACCCTACTCAACAGGGTTTTTCAAGAAAACGCCCATAACTCATCATCACAGCCTATAGACGAATCGATGATTCTTTTCAAGGGAAGGTCCTCATTGAAGCAATATATGCCCATTAAACCGATAAAACGAGGTTTCAAGGTGTGTTGCCGTTGCGACGGTTCTACTGGTTATTTATATGAATTTGATATATATACCGGAAAAGAAGGTAACAGTGTGAAAGACAATTTAGGAGCAAAGGTAATCACGAAATCGACCGAAAAATTGAAAGGAATGGCAGCTGTGCATGTCACATTTGATAATTTTTTTTGTGGTTTTAATATCATGAATTATCTGTATGCTAATGGCATTTATGCTACCGGCACTGTACGCAGACAAAGAGCAGACTTGCCTCAAATTGCAAAGAGCAAAACGAAACTGAAATTAGAAAAAGGTCAATATAAATGGAGAGTAAAAGAAAACGTAGCTTTTGTGATCTGGCAAGACACAAAGGAAGTTCTATTTCTGACTAATGCTTTCCATCCAAAGGAAAATAAAACATTCGTACTCAAGACACAAAAAAATGGTACAAAAGTTAAAGCAGTAGTAAAGGAGTACACGATGGGCGGAGTTGATCACTTCGATCATATCAAAGGTACATATTCAGTTGGACGAAGAAGCAAAAGATGGTGGCTCCGCATCTTTTATTTTCTTTTTGATGCCTGCATCACAAATGCATTTTTGCTTTACAGCGCAAATGCTAATTCTGCGACACTAACCAATTTAGAGTTTCGTGTTGCCCTAGCAAGAGGGCTAATTGGAGGATTTTCATCGCGGAAACGACGTTCAGCAGGCGTCAATTATGTTGTGAGAAAAAAGTTGCGATTTCCAACAATTACCAAAAGTTGAAAATTATCAATGTTACTGCCCCAGAAATTCGCTTTTCTAACGTTGGAGAGCACATGCCAGTTGATCTACCATCGTATCAACGATGTCGATATTGCAGCACTAAGATAAAAGATAAGCGGTCCAAGATCAAGTGTAGCAAATGTGAAGTTCCATTGTGTATAACGCCGTGCTTCCTAAACTTTCATAAACAAACACCACCATAATTTGAACATTCTTTTTTCTACACTTTTTCTTGGCCACTTGTCCTAGGTTTTTATGACATATTCTATGTGACATATGTATTCTAAGTGTATAATGGACAGCCTTCTGAAAAAATTTTCGACTTCCCATACAAATGTGACCAACATGACCGGTGCTATTTGTATGGGGAGTCGAATTTTTTTTAATTTCTGCGAAAAATTTTCTTCAGTACCTTTCTCAGGATGATGATCTGAGTTCATGCTTAGTTTTCGGAAGGCTGTCCCTTACACCTTACATATTATATGTATAACTAACTTTTGTATGCTTATTTTGTTTTTCTGACCTCCCACATCACTGTATTCTTATAATATTCAATCTTCTTATATTATCTTAGTGCTTAGTTTCTTGTGTGTTCTTCTCTGCATAGCTTTCCAAATACGCGTTACATTTGTTTAACTATTTTTCCGTATCATGTAAATTCGACTCCAGGCAGAGGGAATAATTTTACCACCAATAGAAAAAATAAAAAAAATCATTTTTTTTATTTTAATTTATATTTTTAGGCATCAAAAATAACCTCAAATCGAAATCAGATTCAATTTATCATAGCTCGATCGTTATGTCCGTTAAGGGGTTAAATATCGGATCTTTTTAATAAATAATCCACATTATATTGTAACAACTACTTATATCGACTATTGCGTAACAGTTTAACTGAAGTGTAAAGCACTCGGATGAAGACAAAGTGCACCACGACGTTTGAAACGTTTTCGTAAGCTATTGTATGCTGCTGATCAAACATTTTTAAAGAACCAAGGACCAGTCTTTCTAAAAGTTAAGCGTCTTGACGTTCGTAACATATTTACATAACTGTCTGATCTATCTCCCTTTTTTACGTAAAGAATTATTCAAATCAAAATCAGAATGATTGTTTTTATATGAGCATGTAACTTTTATATGGTAGTTCCCCATTTTTATCCCTATTTAAATGGGATTCATCTGTTAAGTTACTTTGCGATAATTTTCCTGCTTGTAGTTTTGTTTTTTTGCAAATTAGCCTATGTTTTTGAAAGAGGTACAATTCTCGTTTTAAAACCTTCTACCCGAACTATATTCCTAAGTGTCGAACGAAGGTTTGCCTATGTTTATACTTCCATTTGAAAGTTATTTTGTTAACTAATGTTTGTAAACTTTGTTAATTAATGTCTCTATTGGTTTTTAAGCTGCTGATATTGTGATTTTAATCCCTTGCAAGGTTTGATATTTAGTTTTGTAAAAGTTTTCCCTAGGTATTCTTTCTTTGATAAATAGGCGAATTTTTTAACCACTTCATAATTGCACCTTTTATGTTTTTCATAGATTGATTATTATTATATTTAGGTAAATTTAATTTTTCTATTACATCTTTTTCTATATAATCGTCAAGATTTTCAGTCAAGCCGTGAAAGTGACTTTCATTAGAAACTTTAACAATTTTAGGTAACCAATTTTGAATTTCGTTCTCTAGAACTAATTCAGGATTTGAATTTTGGTCCATTGCTGTTCGCATGCTTTTTGTCATTTCTCTTGCAATTAATTTACGATGGTTGTTGTTATGAGAAACAAGATGGTCTGGTGGTAGCTTTTGAATCCATTTTAGGTCTTCCGTAGAGGTTACAGTTATTGGATCATTTTTTAATTTTAAATCATTTGTAACCTTTGGCATGTAAAGACCAAGTATTTTATCTATTAACGAATCAACGTAAAAATCAACATTCGGAAAACTGTCATAATTATCCATCCACTTTGAGAATAATAATTTAAAAAATTTATGTTCCTTATCATAAGAAGTCCGAATTTCTGAATTGAGTTGCAAATATGTCATTCTCCGTGTAATGTCTCTGATTATTTTGTAAATCATTGCCTCTGAAAAAATAGTATTTAGTTTGGTGTTTCTAATCCAACTTCTGATAATATTCTCAAGTTCGTTAACGAATAAAGTATTTTCTGCACTTTCATAAATTCGGATAAGAGACTCATTCTCTAATATATCAGAATATTTATCACCGATTCTGATCGAAGATACGGTTGATTCCCTACTTACACTAGGGAAGTAGTTTTCATTTGCGTTCTTTGGAGTTGAAGCATGCAATGAAATTTTTAATAATTTTTTTGCCAATTTCTCACTCCGTGCGTCTGTTGGCAGACCTTGGTTTTTAAGAAAATTAAAAATTAATTTGTTAACCATATCAGTTTTGTCTTTTATTGAATGTTTATAGTTAGATAATACTTTTTCAATTCCTGCAGCCAGGTATTTTATAATTGCTGTATACTTTAAATCTGGTTCTAGTCTTAAATTGCCAGTAATTTCACTAATGAAGGCAGTTATTTCCCTTTCTATATTTATTAAAATGTCACCTTTCCTTCTATCCTCAGAAACATCAGTAGCATCATTCCGTAAAAAAGATGACGTTTTAGTTTGAAACGTCAACGACATTTCTATCGCATGTTTTAAAAGAGTTTCATAGAGTACTTCAAGTTTACTGTCCGGTAGATTTATTTCTTGAAGCATACTGTATACTGTTTCTTTAAAATCACTCTCATTGTCACCTCGCATTATTTGGTTAGTCAGTATATTAGTAAATTTATCTTCAATCTTATTTCTGTTTTTACGATCTACAGAATATTCATGAAGTATATTAGATACTTGTTCTTTTACAAAGCTTTGAATATCCTTTTTCAAGAGTATTGAAAGTTCACTGAAGGACATATTTTTACTAAAACTTGAATCTCTTCGTATTTGATTTGTTCCAATATCATTCAGGCTAAGTTCATCTCCATAATTTTTTGTGGAAATAGTATTTGTTATTTTATTCTTTAATTCTTCTCTCTTATTATCATCTTTTTCCCCAGGCGACACATTTTCAACTAGTGATTCTTCGTTCTTGATAAATTCTTGAAGATTCGGCTTTTCCATAAAGTTTTCCTGAGGTTTTGAGTTTAGATCTGACGTTGAATTATGGTTTTGAAATTGTTTTACTATCTGCGAGACTGATTTTTCCATATTTGCTTCTTCAATCATCTTTTCTTCAGGCAAAGCTTCTAACTTTATAGTAATAATAATTTTTTTAACATCATCTTTAATTTTATATTGCACATTATTACTTTCAATATTATCATTTCTATCTGATTCTTCACTCTTATTTAAATTCATAATGATATTTGAAGTTTCTTGGTTTTCGTTGTCAATCTCCTCACTTACTTGATTTCCGTTCTTATCCGTCCTACATTGTATGTCACTTTTTTCTGCTCTTGTAGTTGAAACTTTAACAGGTTGTATCGAAGTTATATCGTTTACTAATTTGTCGGCAGCCTTGTTGATAAAACTTACATCGTGATTTAAATTTTCAATGGGAGTATTTTTGATTAAATTAGTTACGATCGATTTTATTTTTTCTTTATAATATAGTTCATCTGTTAATTCATTTGATGTTAGGGATTGAATTTGGGTTAAAAATTTATTTATTATATGTTCTTTATTTACAAATGGTTTATCGACAGACTTCTGATTTACTAATAGTTCATCGATCCAGTTAGAAACTATTTCTTTCAAATAATTGTCTTTGTCTGACAATATACATAATCGCGACAGGAGACGTTCAGTTAGTCTATTTTTAAATAAATCTCGATCATATTGATCAATTGGTTGCCACATTGGCAGTATGTCTAAGTATTTTTTAATTTCTTCTTTCTGTTTATCTTTCATGTCCGTATATTTGAGTAATGCATCAACCAATTTCCTCACTATCTCCTGCCTTTTGTTTTTGTCATAAGAAGAATAATTAGCATTGACTGGTATTTCTTGAAGCCATTCCAAAACTTGTTTCAGTAACTTTTCTTCATTTTCTTTTTCTTTTTTACAAAATCGACAACAAGATACTTTCTGATGTAAAATGTCAGTAAAACTTGTATGTTGGTCGCAAAATTTTTTATCACTTGAAATCTTAGTATTTTGTTGTTTGATTAAGGATACAGTCAATATGCATCGGCATGGCAACGGGTTCTTGCAATTACAGCAGATTTTTGAGTCCTTTTGATCTAGTGACTTTCCCTGAAAGAAATAATATCTTTTATTCAATCTCAACAATATGTCTCAATTTACATAAAGTACCTAATGGAGTATTTTTTCATTTCTTTTATCCTACGTGTCGTGATGTGGGCTCCTTTTAGTGTACCAGTAACTTGTAGTTAGATGTTTATTGCAGGTGTGCATGGGCTTCAGTATTCACTTGCCATTATATGGACTATTATTATTTGTTACAAAGTAATTAAAAAAATCTATTACGTCTTCATCTGGGTCCTTCATGAAGGCTTTAAAGTGTTGGACACTAATCAACCATTAAACTGTGCCGATTGCATTCTTAACTCTTAATAATAATAAATACTCACTACCCCATACTCTTCCGTGGCGTGGGGAGAGGCGGCAGATGGATAGCAGCGCATCTTAATAATAACTAAAAACTAAAAGCGTGGCAAGTATGTATGTATAGATAATATTTCTCTATAAGCCTATGTTCAGCACTGGACTTATGACAGACTGTAATGGTAACATTTTTAAATCATCTCTAAAATCCAATGGCTCCAAATAATGACAATGTTTAATAGAAAAAGGTTTATCGTTTGTTTTAATTTACTTTAATTGTGCTAGCCTAATGGCTAAATAGTCACATACTACTCATTTTTAAGATGTTTTTAAGTAATAGAGACAGCACGAGACTTAACAGCATCTTAAAATTAAGTAGCGTTTTAGTATTTGGGCATAGGGTATAGTAAGTCCTATTCCTTTATATGATGTTTGCTCCCGGACTGAGAGCGATTCTGAATTTAGTGTAGCGTATCAGAAAGTTACACAACTTGTACCTTCCGAACATTTAAGACGTAAGCAATGATCACTACCGAAACTTAAGTGTTCCACTAAAGGATCACCTCTCATTACTGAAAGGGCAAAAAAGCAATGTATTTTAAGGATTTTTTTAAATTAAATGTGAGTTACAAACATGCACAAAGTTTACCTGATGGTAAGTGGATATTATGGTCTATAAAGATCTATCCTTAGTTAAAAATCAAAATACGTCATCCGTGGAGACTAAGATGAAGTGCCTCTTTACGAGTAAAAAGCGTATCAGGTACTCTACGCTCACTACAAGAAACACAACAGCGTTATACTTCACGCTGGTGTTCTGTGAAAGCGTGGATCTATCGTGATCAAACCATTCGCACTACAAATAGCTACATTGAGGATTTTTTTATAGAATAAGGATGACAAACGAGCGCACAGTCCACCTGGTGGTAAGTGGATGCTATCACCCATAGACATCCACATTTATTCTCGATTAAGAATCAAAACGCATATACGTTGTCACCTCTGAGGATTAAGATGGAATACCTCGTTTCCAGTAAAAAAGGATGTCCGGACCTCTAAACTCATCATACGATACACAGCAGCATTATGCTGCTATTTTACGCTGGTCTGGCGAGTCAGACCATTCATGCTACTACCATAATAGCTGCAGCGTGGCTCTACCACATATAAAACCTCTACCAATTTTAATGAAAATTATAAGTATTTGCACTTACAATCTACTAACTAAGACGAATGAAAGCATTCTTAATATTTCAAATCGAGCAAATTTATCCTACAAAAATAAACAATTATTTTGCCTTGAAATATGGCTTGGATTTTTTTTAAATATTATCAATGGATTTTTTATTTGGAGCAACTTTATCATTATTGGCCTTTACCTTTTTAACTACTTCATTTTTAGCCGTTTCTCCGGAAGTGGTTGGCTCTGAAAAAGTTTTTTTTTAATTTGAACGAGAACTTGATTAAATTCCTGGTTCACTTTCAGTTTATTGTTCTGTTGGGTCTATCGGTTACTCTGGTTATACTGCGGATATTCTCATTTCAAACTCTGTTACACAGAGAAACTCAGAGCATAATCCTCTCCATAGCCTGCTAAACAACTTTGAGCTCTCTAATACGGATAGAGGTCCACGAGGCACATATTTTTAACTTCTCAAACATGCAGGTTTTTCCACGATGTTTCCCTTAGGCGGTAACTTGAAATAGCGTTCATAAAATTCAGCGGTGCTGGTGAAGGTCAAAATTGAGACCGTGGACAGAGTATTTTATGAACTTACACTGCTGTGTTCTGGTCTGAAGGATATAGAGCTAGTATAATCATACGAGTAGACATCCACACTGGCGACATTCTATGAGGCTTTGATAACCTCAGAAGTGGCAACGTATCCGTAGTTTTCTTTGTTTGAAGTTAGTTGCTAGTATCCGTGTACTGAGTTGACACTTACCATCAGATGGACTGTAATTTTACTACCCTAGTTTAATAAAGAAAGTCTGCTGACCAATAATAGTAGTTATTTACAACTTACAATAAGGTTTGGATTAACTTCCATTTGGAATTATATTTTTAACCCATGAACACACCACTCAGAATTAAATGAAAACCATCTACCTACTTTATCTTTTTTTATAGAATAAGGGTAGCAAATCTGCATACAGTCCACCTGATGGTAAGTGGTTGCTGTGGACCATAGACATTACTACATTTATCCTCGATTAAGAATCAAAATGCAGATGCGTTGTAACCCTGAGGACTAAGATGGAATACGTCGTTTCCATAAACTAACCATACGAAACACAGGAGTATTAAACTGCTATTTTAAGCCTTTATTCTGTGAGAGCGTGATACTTCCTCGGTCGAGACGACCCATTCGTGCTACAACCATAATATAGCTGCAGCGTGGCTCTACCACGTATAAAATTATCTATATTTATCTTCTTTCTTTTATCACTCTACTTTATCTTCTTTTTCATCATCATAAGCCCTTAAAAGTTTACAGCTGGAGACTATTGGCCAAATACTGAAACGCTACTCGATTTTAAACATCATTTAGTTTCGTGATATTATAATCACTTCTTGAAGGTATGCTATCTGTCTTCGGTTCGGATATTTTACGTCTGGCGTAAGCGAGATCGTTATAACGCCATCTATCGGGCGGCTTACGATTTTTATAGTATTTTTTATTGAATAAGGGTGACAAGCGAGTAGTGCACCTGATGTAAGTGAATGCTATGGCCCATAGATATCTACATTTACCATTGATTAACCTCTCAAACGGCAAGCGTCCAAAATCGGATATGGCCGCTTTGATATTCCATCAAAATTCAAGAGGTCAAATGTGACCAACCACAGCACTTTAACCTATCAATACTTATGTTTAGAGACTACTTTTCTATGAAGATGTTTGGCATTATAGAATCAATATGAAATTTTCTATCCTCGAATGGAATAAAAGTCAGTTATTTAATGATTTTTCATTGTTTTCTTTGATTGTTCATTTCGTACGCCATTTTTGTGTGAATGTTATTGTGTTGATTTTTGGATTTTTCTAGTGTTTTAGTATAGTGTTTTATTATAAAATTGTAATATAAGTTTTAGTATGACTATAATTTATGTTACTTCTTTTTACGTAAATAAATTTGAGTAATATAATCTTTTTGTAATGAAGTAAAACCTGACTTTTGTTTACCACATGATAGAGAATTTCGTATAGATTTTACAATGCCAAACATCTTCATAGAAAAGTAGTCTCTAAATATAACTTTTAATGGTTTAAAGTGCTGTGGGTGGGTGCGGTCGTTTGCGACCGCTCGGGGTAAGCCGAACGCATGCGGTTGCATGGGATTTTTATGGGGATTGAAGGGTTAAGCACCAAAATGCAGGTGCATCATCATCCCTTTTATTTCATTACAGCCCTTCACAAGTCCACTGCTGAATATGATATGGCCGGCCTTTGGCCACTTCAGCTTACTAATCCGTTGGGCTATGTCGGTCACTCTGGTTCTACTGCGGATATCCTCATTTCTAAGTTTATCACGCAGAGAAACTCCGAGCATAGCCCTCTCCACAGCTCGCTGAGCGACTTTGAGCGTCCTCATACGGCCAGCAGTGAAGGACCACGTCTCGGTTCCGTAAGTCATCACTGGCAACACGCACTGGTTGTACAACTTAGTTTTCAGGTTTTGAGGTATACCTGACGAGAAGATGTGTCGTAATTTCCCGAACACTGCTCAGCCGAGTTGAATCCGTCGATTGACCTCTCGTTCGAAGTTGGACGTACCTAGTCGGACTATTTGTCCCAGGTAAACGTACTCGTCAACAATTTCGAGCTTAGTTCTCCCGACAACTACCGGCATAGGTATGACATGTACATTAAACATGATCTTTGTTTTGGCCATGTTCATCTTAAGACCTATCCGTTGGGAGACACTATTGAGTTCATTGAGCATAGTGCTTAAGTCCTCTGCCATAAGGACTATATCGTCGGCAAATTGAAAGTGAGTGATGTACTACCAGTAGCTTGAAAACGTCTTCTAATGCAGCGGTGAAGAGTTTCGGGGAAATAACGTCACCCTGTGTTACACCTCTCTCAATTTGCTGAAGGGTATGTATATGGTAAATGGTACTGAAGCCTTTTCGGACCGGCTGTTTCGCGAGGCTGGAAGTCGTCGAGTCTGCGTGCGAGACGATTCGTAATGACTCTCGAAAACAACACGTAGACGCGGCTCAGAAGGGATATCGGTCTGTAGTTCTTCAAGAGGGCGTTGTCACCTTTCTTGAAGAACAAGACCACCGCACTTCTGCTCCACGCCTCCAGAGTAGTGCCACCATGGAGGACGGAATTAAAGAGCCTCTGAAGGACTTCAAGTGCCGGTTTTCCACCCGCTTTCAGAAGCTCCACTGTAATTCCATCCTCGCCCGGGGACTTGCCGTTTTAAGGTGCTGGAGAGCCATTCTAATCTCGCTCAGACTGACGTCCGGGATATCATCGGACATCTGCATCACCTGACTTAGATGCTCTGATGGTGATGCTGCAAAAGCAGGCTCGCCGACAGGAGGAACAGGTCCGTTAGTTGAAAGAGCAGTTGCGGGGTGGACAGGATGAACAGGCTCACCGACAAGAGGAACAGGCACGCCGACAGGAGGAACAGGCCCGTCAACAGGAGGAACAGGCCCGTCGGTTGGAAGA